ATTTGTATATTATATGTATATATAATGTGGGTGAAACGAGAAAGAGAGAGTAGGTCATGCTTTAATTTTTCAGCCACGGCTAAATATTGATTCGAGGTAATATTTCGAAAATCGTCGAAAACCGCGCACGCTTCGAGTCGCGCTTGCAACGTTTAACCTTGTTTAACTATCAGCGAAGGAAAACGTGTATCGCACACGTCGCGCACGTACGTTCCGTTTTCGACGATCGAGGTGCGTCGCCTAATTGCGATTTACACGGCACTATAGCGTACCGAAATACGTGATCCGAATTTTCAAGCGTATCTTTCAGTTTCGTCGTCATATTGTTTATCGAAAAATTCCATGATGTTGTTTCATACTTCCGCGATTTTGTTTTCTACTGGAAAAGCGATTTTCTACCGTTTTACTGGTTATTGACAAAGTCCGCTAAACGATAGTGAATAGCACTTAATGTTCAAGCGTGACTATTTTTTTGCACATATAGTGGCTCGCAAAAGTATTCGTACACTTATCACATATGTTATGAACAAAATTATAAAGTACATGAAACTCCGCAATCTAGTTACAATTATATAATTAGACTGCGGATTTTTATGTATTATTTATAAGAAATTTAAAAGTGCAGAATTGCACAAAGCGCACGTAATATAAAAGAGTATGTGAAATAAATACGGTACTTTTTATAATACACCTCGAAACAGACAGATAACACACACTATATTTTCTTACATTATGCGTCGTAAACTAGAGAGAATGCGTAGAACATCACATCAGTATCTTTGGGCATGGATTATCCTGCCACGTGCGTTATATCGAGTGTTATTACAGAGAAACGCAATTTCTCAGAAATATAAAAACGAAAGTATAAATATTGTCCGCAATCGCGAGGCGAATAAGTTCGAACATTTTTGCTTCTTAGTCGTATGGAAGCTATCGAAGGCGTAACATTCCTTTGCGAAATAAATATTTTCCACACGATATTGAAATTAAATGAAGAATATTATTTTGTGACAAAGATAGCTAAAATAGTTGGTAGAAAATAAAATAATGATGAATTTACTAAAAAAATCCCGACAATTATGGAGAATGAAAAAGTTGTGGACGACCGCAGTGTTCAAGCTTAACTGCGAGACAAATTGCAGAAAAAGCTGAAGTTACTACGAATGTCAGAAATGTTCGACTTTTTTCATCTGAAACAACGTAAACCTTGGTTAAAGCAAGAACATATTCTGTTTGCAATTTGCAACGAGTTTTTATGAAGAAGAAATGAGGAAGAATCGTGTTCACCGATGAGAGGAGCTACAATTTAAACGGATTTGATAGCCTCCACTCCTATTATCGTGATCTACGAAAGGAGCAACTTCTGAGTCGTTGAAACCATGAGAAATGGCGGTAAGATGATTTGGGAAAACTGGTTACTAAGGTAAGATGGAAATAAAATTTATTACTTGGGAAATTAATTAGTAAAAAGTACATTGAAATGATTGACGAACAAATTAACACGCCAGAAATAAGTATATTTTTTGTCGTGCATGCCACGAAAGCAGCAAACAAAAAAATTCGTCTTTTAGAATGGCCAGCCAAGTCTCCGGACTTCGACATTATACTATAGAAAATTGTTGGGGGAATTTGGCGAGGTTTGTATACCAGAATAGAAGACAATTCATAAATATTAATTTAAAAAGAACAAATACTAAACTGTTGTTATATTTTCTTTGACTTTCCTTACACGGGATTCTTTTTCCCATCAAAGTTACAATAGTACGGGCTTCGCGACGTAACGGGCGTCGTGCATCTATTCATTATGGCATTTATCGCGCAACAGTTGCAGAAGTTTTCGTCGTCTCTCACGGACGAGTATACCTCCGAGGAAACGTTTAACTGACGCGATATCCCGTATATACCTGCGAGTAAATTTCTCGAACGGTATGCAAGAAACTATCTCGGAATTGCGTTCTCTCGATAGATTTTCTCGGAACTGTGGACCGTCTGAAATGTTTCGAAGTTACGTGTCTTGTAAGAACCGTTTCGCAATCGTTAACGTGGCGGAACTTCGCCGAAGTCGGTTCGTTGCGAAAATAAGAGAAGAAGACAAAAATTAATGAGACGAACGATGCCGCGGGTTGTTGTCTCGCGGCTTGAAAACAGCGAAATTTTCCGTCCAACCTTGATCACATGACGCGAACCGTCGTACGTCTCGCGTGTCCTTTCTTTCACATATCGTCTCCCATTTCCGCGGGTCTCTGTCTCATCATCGCGGAGCACGCGATTCAAGCCGCGGATCGTGTTGCAAACGTAATCTGAGAAAAGCGGGATCTCAAGCGAGCGACGTACCAGTTCGTTTTCCGCTTCCGTGACGGATGAATCTTCATCGGGCGATTATACCGTGCTGCGTCGTTTCCTTAAGTAACAGAGAGGAGGGAGACAAGTTGTCGCAAGAACGAATTTCGGCGTCGAACGGAAAAGCTCTCCTTTAAACCTCAAGAGGTGGAGGCGGAAGACCCTTTGACGACAATACCCTAACCTTTGTCCTTTGTCCTCGATTTTATCAGATTCTGTTCGTTAAAACGGGAGACTCTCCTCCCGTGGAATAAAATCGAACGCGAGGTAGAATTCCACGAATTACAGGATCGTTTTACAGTCGTAAAGAGACGGGCCGGGAAATCGCATCATTTCTTTTGTTTTCATCGCTTTTAACGAGAATTACTTGTCAGCTGCCTGACACTGAATTTTCGAACGTCATTGAACACAGGCCTTGTCCTTATTCGCTCGAGCAACTTTCGAAGAAATGTCGGGCAGTTCTACGTCGGTTACGCGATTATCGAAAATAAATTTGTTGGACGGATACTCGGGCGCGAGCATGGTCGAATGATTCCTCCCGAGGGAAATGCGTAGAAAGTTCGTAAACACGTCGAGTTTTTTCGTCGAGCTTCACCCTCGATTTTCCCGTCGGCGACTCGAGTTATCGGTTTCTATCGCTTTATAATTTCCCTCTCCCTCCCCGCCGCTGAAAGCTAAAACTTTCGCACCCTCTCTCGTGACACGAAGAACTTTCGAGCTGCCCGGGAGAGCTATTAAAACGCACCCTGAACTTGTTCGTTAAGAACAATCTTCCGCGAGTTTAATCCATTTGCCTGCGTTCTCGCATCAATGCAGCGCGATTACATTCAATTTTTATCGAGTTCCGCAACTTGTTCAGGTTTCCTTTAAATCTGAGCTTCCTTCCCGTCGGCGTGTCAGGAGAAACGAGCACTGCTTTCATTGTAGCACGGTGTGATCCACGTTCTACGGAACAGCGGTCAGAGTAGCGGAAAACGCGAGAAGTGTATCGCGGTTCTGGAAAGAAACAAGAAGAAAAGAAACGATTCGAGTCGTGAAAGCTCGTTGATGAAATTGCACCGAAAGTGCACTTCTCAATGCTCTGTTTCGTGCTTCCGTCACACGAAATTTACCCGACTTTGTCACGAGCAATGTTCGACACGATTAAAGAAAGCTTTCGAAGCGATTCGATTGGAAGACCGCTCGTTAAATCTCGTAAGACAATCTTCGAGATCAATCGATCCGCGACAAAGGTTCTTTAAATAATTTATTTACAGCTGCTTGTCAAATTACCAGCTCAAAGTACAAACGAACAGTTTATTATAATATGTAGCAAACGGCAAGACAAGTTTTAGAGATTTTTTTGAATAGTTCACTTCAATTAATTGTTTGTTAAGTTAATCATCTCAAGGATAGGAAAAAACGAATAGTTTTACTTATTGTAATACAAAATCGTAAAACAGGTATTAAAGATTCAAATCATGTGTATAAATATGTTTATATTGTACATTCTTAATTTAATTTATCTAATTTACGTAACCGATAACTTTAGATCAATTGAATAAAATATTTAATGTATTTAAATAATATATTATCCTGTTTGTCTATATCTCGAAATAATTCTACGTTTAATTTAAGTTACGACTTAATTTTTCTAAATTATTTCATTGTTTAGTTGTCGAATAACGTTTTTGCAAAGTAATTTCTGATTTTGTTTTAAATTTCAATTAATTAATTAAAATAAAGATTATTTGCAAATGATCTACTTGAAGTTACTTTCTCAAAATTAAATAGCCCGGACAGTATAGTATATCATTGGGACCGCTCAACTTGAGTTTTCTGATTAGAATATTAGAATATTGAAAAAAGTATACGGTTCCGTTTGATAAATTATTGAATAAAAAAATTTCGCAGATCTCGAGAAAAATTTATTTCCACCATTCAATATAGTTTCTGAAATAATCACGAGAGGTATTTTCATACAATAACAAACAAGACAGATATTTAGATGAAACACCCTGCATATACACATAGCTGTTACAACTTTCTCATTGTTTGCGAAATCACGATTCCAAGAGACGTAGAAAAAAATATCTTTCTGCAAACGAATAGCTTTTCCTGTTGCAACACCAAGCTGCGAAACGATAGCCTTTTCATAAATGATCGCGAAACGACAGGGAATCGGATATAGCGGCTAATGGATCAGCAGATCGTCGCAGAAGTTTCACGGCGCTTTAATTAGTTCGATTTAATCGATCAGTTTCCCTTTGTTTTTGCCACGTTGGCACGGTCCCAAACCACCGGTAATGCATCCCACCGTTCGGATTCGATTGGAGAGAGAAAAGGAGAAAATGGCACAATCCTGTACGATCACGAGTTTCGAAGTGTCTAAAAATGAAAGAAAGATAGATTCGTCGCGGCCGTCTCGGAATACAATATCAAATCAAATATTACAATATTCATATTGTAGAAAAGAAGACACCACGAAATTCCACGGCTAGCACCGCGTCGTGGAAATCTAATAATTCGTTGCTACTAAAGCAAACGATAATAGTTGCATAACAATAACAGCTCGAGTTGCCGCGTGTATTTAGAAAATACACGGGAATCGATCGAGGCGATGGAAATTTCCCAGCGCTGTGATACTTCGTGCAGAAAGAAAAAAGAAAAAAAGAACTCACCCAAGAATCCTGGGATCGCACCCAATGGCATCACGAACAGGCTGACGAGTAAATCGGCAACGGCGAGGGACAAAAGGAAGTAATTGGTGACGTTGTGCAGTCTTCGGTCGAGTCCGACAGCCAGGCAGACCAGTATGTTCCCCAAGCCGCCTGCCACGATGAACACCGCGACGAAGAGGAAGCTCCAGTCGAAACGGCGGCCTCTCGTCGCCGAGCTCAATTTCGTTCTGTGCGAGCAAGAGATCGTCAGGTCCTCCGCTGTTGCGTTCTCCGCCGGTGTGCATTCCAAAACCTGCGAACGTTAACAAAGCGAAGGGGAAGATCGTTTGTCGTTAGGAGTTGCAAACGAAAGTTTAAAATCTCATGTCCCGAGTCTTCACCTGATCGTCGAAATTGGTCACGTTGCACTCCCTGAACCTCGGCAACCTCGACAGAAAGACACCCTCGATGCTCTCCAGCCCGCTGAGAATCAACGAGACGTTCACGTCGCAATTGGAGTAATCGCACGGCCTGCACAGCAGTGTCATCGACGATGTGAAGGTCCCCTTTTCCACGGTGCACATGTGATCGAAGCCAGACGAGCCGACCCCGCACTCCTCGATGCATCCGAGGAAACTATCGTTACAAGGCAGCTGGTGAAGCATCGCGGTCAAGTTGCTCGTCCAGGAGCTTGTCAGGTTTACCTCCATGTCGCCGTCGCAAGTTCTATCGACAGAGAGTTATCCCGTTGTCCACTATACATTCACGTTCTAACATCGTCGAGCTGTGTCCTTTGTTAAACGTGCAGATCACAAGCACCGAGTCATCGTGCCCGAACTAGGGCACTTTGTCCACGAACGAGCAACGCCGCGCGATCCTCTTCACTCGCGGCTCACCGCTTTGTCTTCCAACCGGCATAATTACCACGCTTCTCGAAAACCACCGTTTTCACCGTTCACCATTCAGCACATTCGAGCCGCAGCGGGACGAGGCACGAGCTGAGCCAGAATTTGCTCTACGAGTTAAGCACGCTACGTGAAACGCGAAAATCGACGTGAGGTAACGCCTTGGTTCTTGGCGTTGCCTCAGAATCGAATTAGGATCAGGGAACACGATCACGAGCTAGCGGATGTTTATTCGGCGGCAGCGGCGTCGGAGGGGGATTCTTAGCTGGTGAGGATCCTCGGTGGACGCTCGGTGAGTTTGTGGATTCGAGCCTGGCTTTACGACCGGTTGCGCTACTTCGCCGTTCAGGGATCGTGCTGTAGATTTCATTCGACCAGCTCGTTCTCGTCTTGTTCACCTGGAACAGACGATGACGATTTCAAGCTCTCCCCGGAGGAAACGATTTCTCGCTCGCGGCGTTTATTAGCCGACGCTCGATCGCTTGTCCAATAACTCGTTTTCCTCGTGAAGCACGTAACTACAATAAAAAAAAAAAAAAAAAACAGTAGAAGACAAAAGATCGAAAAAGGAGAAGTATTTCTCGGGGAAGAAAAATTGGATCGGGAAGGCGGTTGCTTCGACGGCGAAATCGAAATGCTTGCTCTCGACATTGATCCGCTGGGAACACGAAGTCGACCTTTGTCGTTTCGGATAGTGGGAATGTCTCTAAATTGAATGGTCCTCCATTCTTTCTCTCTCTCTCTCTCTCTCTCTCTCTTCTTTTTTTTTATTTCTCAAACTGCCTCGTTACTTCGTTCAAAGTATTATTGGTATTTTTTAAAAGTACATAAGCGGGTTCTAGCAGAAACGCGACGATAATGCACAGTTAAGGTTAAACAGCGAGAAAGGATCTCGTTAAGTTATTCATTGCGCCAAGAAGGGAATATCGTTTCAAGTGGAAATAGCTTGCGTAATTCATCGACTATTTTTTCACGCATTTCGTCGCGAGATATCCAATTCGATCTCGATGGTAAAATAGAATATTTATCAGGGATTGTGCAAAGCTAACCGAGAGACTCGGAGATTACGAAGGGAACGCGAGATTGTACTAGCAAAATACATTGCTGCGAGATTCTTTCTCTTTTCTTTTTGTGCTAGACGATAAATGTTTCAGGAAACACTGTGGCTAGGATTGAAACGGATACGATAATATTACATCGATCTGAAATGAGACGAGCTTAAGATGACATAAGATGTCGATGTGCATCTCGCCTAAATCCGTTCGATAAATCATGTTCGTAAAGAGACGGTGGTAGGCGGCAATATGTCACCCTATCGTATTTATGAATTTCGTTAGACCGTCGCTGGATATACTAAAGAGGATACTGTTTTTGTGCGTTTCCCTTCGTGGATACTGAATCGGTCCTCGCGTCTGTGCAGTTAGAGCAATCTTGTGCTTCATTTTAATAAGATAAATCCACATTTATTATATATATTATATATATATTATACATTTATTGTATATATTATATATATATTATACATTTATTGTATATATTATATATATTATACATTTATTTTCTTTGCGATTCTAAATGATACAAATAGTGTTACAGTTTGACAAATTGAACATGACAAAAGTAGTATTATAGTTTGAAGTAAAGCATGGTAATCTTTGGAGAAAAAAATGATTAAAATATTCCGTTTTTATTAACAGTACAGCTATATAAACTTGTCATTAGACAAATGATGATTTTTCCCTTTTTTTCACTAGTGATTTATCGTCCATTCAATAGGAATTCAGATTCAAATAAATGGATTCAACCAACAAGAGTTCATTTGATCGATTACTGACAGAAATCTCATTCAAATAAATCGAGTTCGTATGAACAGAGTTTTACTGTAATATGAATAAATTTAGATATCACCAAATAAAATTTAACCGCGTTACGAAAATGTTCAATTGCCGCGTTCGTGAATCATTCCACAAAATCGAGGTCCAAGCATTTAAAAATTGGTCGCTACAGAAACAATTAATTGTATAATCAATTAATTTCCCGTTCTTTCCAAATCTTTCAATGTAACAGAAAATGTCTAGTATTAGACAAATCTCGCCCTTTCGAAGTATATATTATACTTTTGCGAATATACCTCTCACTGTACACGGATAAACAAGGAATTCAGCTTTGGAATTTAACTAAATAGGGGCCATGTTTCCTGCGCCAACTACAGAATATTGCATTAGCGACGAATCTAGTCTCTTAGTGATGACGTGTAAACAGTTTCTAATTAACGTTGTAATATTCGCTTGTTAGGAATACGATCGCTTGGAAAACAATTCGGATCTCTTATACAATGGATCTCTTGCTCGATCCGTGAAACGACTTAATGTCAATAAGTCAAGGCACGATCCTTGTTCGAGATAGAAACGCGAGTCAACGAAACGGTATCAATAAAAATAGAACACCAGTTTAAACCTCGTTCTGGTCTGCGCTTCGTAGAAAGCATTCAGCGTGGCGAACGTTATCATGAGTGAGTCGATTAATGCGAGGTTATTCTTCAGGATGGCAAATAACTCGCGGAATAACTCAGAATACCCTGTCGTGCTCTCAAAACATCTCGTATATGAAGTTTAATAACGATATACGCGGATATACGATGAAGTGGAAGCCTCTCGTAAATAACCGGTTCCTGAAATCCATAACGCTCGAACCGGGGAACACGTAATTGAAAATGATGCGAGGAATTTTTATTAGATCGGCGGTTGAATTCCCCGCGAAAGAATTTACGAAAATATGTTTCCAAATATGATTGGAGACGTTGAAGCCGGAGCGTCTCATACGGGAGAGACGAGATTCTAAGCGTGAAAGATGCATGGAGTTGCCGTGAAATTCAACCGTGAGAGTTTCACGGTGCAATTTTAACACGGTTTTGTGAAACGTTTATTGTGAAATATATTGTGTAATATTTAAAGCATGATTCGGACAACAGGAATCTCTGGAAGCTCATAACTTATTTTCGTGCCATTGATTAATCTCGGAAATCATGCTATTATTTATTTAACGCCGCGTGTTTTGATTTTATGAATCATTAAACGATCGATCTTCTGCTTTATTTTGTTCCGTTTGCGTGTTCGTCGGTGATATTAAGATATAAAATTTAAATGATCTTAAACCATCGTCCCATCTAAATATTCAATTCGGATCGTTTGATTATCAGACAGCGGACTGTTTGTGCAATTTTACATTTTTACGAACGTAATTGAATGGAATCTATCCAAAAATCTGTTTCATCTATTAAACATTATAACAAGTATTGTACAAACGAGTATTTTCAAATTTAAACTATTGATAATTTATCTCAATTTTCTTAAAAAATGGATTTACACTGCTTTCGAAACAAACAACATTTTCTAGATTTTTGCAGCCTTCAATTCCTCAAAATAAATATCTAAGTAGTTTTTGATAGATCGATTATTAATTCTAATTATTCGAATTATTTTTATATCCAATGTCAAAGTATGGCTCTCTCTATAAAATATTTTTTTCCAATGGTGTCTTGTTAATCAAAGCGTAATTCACAGGAGGTCGTAGATCATTTTTTCCATGGATCTCGTTCGTGCTCCGCTGAGAACGGATGCTCTAAATATCAAGAGACACGCTTCCTTGACGCAGTTTATTTCTCAAATATCAGTCATATTTCATCTTGGTACTTGAGAAAATGCCTCTGTAACGACGAAAAGTTACTTTGTTTCACAAAGAAGCTTCATGTGCTCGCGGTTCATTTCAGACGATTACCTCATGATTAAATCAACAATTTCCTGCAAAGTTTTCTCGTTTTGAGAGAACTTTCCCTCACGTTTGCATGCCAGTGGCCGCCACAATTTTTCTGTTGTCCGCTCAATTGATTAACTTCGTGAATACAAAACAAAGATGCAGAAATTGGAGAAACTAATCAAGCCACGGAACGTGAGCTTTAAGCCAACTCTTGAAATTCTGTGCCAAGGAAGCTGTCTCATCCACCTTTCTCGTTACTCCTAGAGCTTAACCCTCGAAATTCGTAATACAAGTTTCAACTTCCCGAAGCTTCTTGAAAGTAATATTAAATAAATTTCGACTTTGATACATTTTGCCCACTCTACAGTAATTTCATGACTTCATAATCTTTAATCGATCCTGTGATCCATCGTTCGTGTTTGTATTTCAATTCTGCCTTCAAAGTTGTCTGTTTCCTTAATATAGCTTCGCGAAAGCCTGTATTAGCGTTACGAGCAACTTTTACTTTGTTTGTTCAAAGTTATATATTGTTTGATACATATTTGATCTTTCTTTAATAAATCGATTGACAGAACACCGGTCACAATGAATTCGGCAAGCTTCAAGCTACAATAAATGTTATTCAACAGCAATTTTAGTCACAAAGTTTGCAAAATCCATCGTTCCATGTGTACTAATCTCTAGCATTAATCAATTGTAACCTCGATTCGAACGCTTGAGTTCAAATCTTCTCGCCACGGTCTCCGGATTGTTTCGTTTCAAAACATTCGAAATAACCATAAAACAAACGAATGCTATTTACCCGTCACGGAAAAATATATTGCGTTCAACATTTCGTTTGATATTATAAAATTCTTCCAATATCAATATCTTTTGATACTGCAACTATGAAACGAAATTTCAAAGATTCGCTTAGTATTTCTTCATCGCTGCATTCATCGTGCAGTTCGTTCGTGCACTTTAACATCATCTGATCGACATCCACTTTAAAGTAACCATTATTTTTTTCAGAACAGCCTTCTTTTCTAGAAAAAAGATACGAAAATTGTCTGGCGAAGTGACGACGTGGTGACGAAGGAACAAAATGTATTTCTGTTTTCTTTATAAATGAACGGATAAATTTTTATATAGTTTGTGCATTCAATAACATTATTCACGTGTTCAAAAGAATTTAACATATTTTTTCTTTTTGCATTTTACATTCTCTGTAGTATTAAATAGATTAAATTAAAAAATTCCAAAACTAAGTGATTTTTATGGTGCGTTCGCCCATAAACGACATGCTATTGCTGTTAGCAATGAATATCTTGATGAGATTCGCGAATACCGTGAATTCTTTCGTCGATATCATTTCGTCAAAGATTGATCGCGCAATATCGTGCAACCCCCGTCTTCGCTTTGTATTTCTTCATTCGTATTTCACTGTTGGAAGTTTCCTTCTACCGATGACGATGCTTGATCTCCCCTACATTCGAGAGAAAAACACAAGCATAAATTACACATCGGCGTAATTTTACCACTATTGATGCATTGCCACAGGGACCTTTATAAATCAGTCTTTTGTTCGTTCTTACAAATAATCGACCGGACGTTATCTATGAATCTCACACGAGCCATTGTCTCGGAACCCCCCCCCCCCCCC